ATATTCCATACTATGCACACTGTAAAGTAGGTAACGTGAATACACTTGGTACAATGCACTAGAAGTGATAAATCTTATGTTCCCTTCCCTTTTCTTATGCAGTCACAAATACTACCCCTAGTGTAGAAAAGGTAATTCAGCCTCACTCAGTTTAGCAAATCATATCATCAAGAATATACGGTTTTCTGTTCCTAGCCTCTAAGCAACCTTCTGATCAGCCTTTGCTTGTACTTTACCCGCCAGTAGGAGATGTCCTGTCTGAATGTCCAGGTTTACCATACTGATTTTGCTAGATATAGTTCCCTGTAAGCTTATAAACTGGCAATATGGTTTACCAATGTCCTGCAAGTTTGCTTAGCATGAACCTCTGGAATATACCTAATTTGGAGTGAATTAGTGGCAAAGTGGTTAAGAGCAGCTAAACAAAAGTTGGCAGTTTGAATCCACCAGCTGCTCCTTGAAAACTCTATGGGGCAGTTCTACTCTGTCCTATAGGGTTACTATGAGTCAGAATTGACTCAATGGCAATGGGTTTGGGTTTTTTTTTTACATATAAAACTATATTTCTAAACCTACAAAGTTAAAGATTGCCTTTATAATACTTCCCATCTGTGGATCTACTTTCCAATTACAAATTCAGATATTTCTGGATTAAGATCAGAAAGATTTTTGTGTGTTTTATCTACCGAATATTTCTTTTTAATTTTTTTGGTGAAAACATACCCAACAATTCACACAACTAGTCAATAATTTCTATATGCACAATTCAGAGACATTGATTACATTCTTACAGTTGTACAACCATTCTTACTATCCTTTTCCAAATTATTCTACCACCATTAACATAAATTCACTGCCCCCTAAGTTTCTCATCTAACCTTTTGAGTTGCTGTGGTCAGTTTGATCACATATAGATAATTCTTTTAAAAAGCACAATGCTCAAGGCAAGCATTCTTTTCTAATTAAGACAAACTATTGTTTGGTTTAAAGATGACTTCAGGGGTTAGTTTTGGTTTAAGGTTTAAAGATTACCTCAAGGCCATAGCTTCCGGGGGTCATCCAACCTCAATGACTCTAAAAAAGTCTAGATAACACGAGCATTGGAGGTTCTGTTTCACATTTTTCCCCTTTTGATCAGGATTTTTCTATGGAATCTTTGATCAGAATGTTCAGTAATGGTAGCTGGGCACCATTCAGTTCTTCTAGTCTCATGGCAAAAGAAGCAGTTGTTCATGGAGGCAATTAGACACGCATTCCAGTTCTTCCTCCAATTCCTGACTCTCCTCCTTCTGCTGCTACTCCAGGTGAATAGAGATCAATTGAATAAGAAAGATCTTAAATGAATGACACAGTGTTAGCTACTAAGGAGTGGTGAGAACTGTGGTAGAACTGGAAAGGCACACACACTGCTTACTGCTACTGTCCATCGATGCCTTTGTTCTTATTAACAGAACCAAGATTTTGTTCAGGACAGCAATGTGCCAGCTAAAAATAACTTTCGTGAAGTTAGAAGAGGCCATGTGACACAGTTCTTGCTAATAAGACAGAAGTGGAAATTTGCTTATGATTTTTCCGAAATTTTGCTTTCATGCCCTACGCACTGACTGACCCTTCCTCCTTGTCAATTCCTCCCATTTCCTTTCTGGAATGCAGATGTAATGGCTGGAGCAAAAGACCAGGGTAATTGTAGAGTTGCTCACATTCTTGAGCTGTAGAATTAATCCTAGCAACTGTCTACTTCTGAACTTGTGTTTTCAAAGAAAGAAAATAAATCTCTAATTTGTTTATGCTCTTGTTTGGTTGGTTTTTGGTTACTTGCAGTAAAATGAAATCCCTGATACGTTAAAATTCAAATTGGCTTTAAAATATGATGCAAGTCAAACCACAATGTGTGTCAAATTTATCTTTACCACAACAAAGTACCTTGAATATTCTAAATTATGTAAAATGGGAACACATTCTCTCACTATGTATGTACTGGAAGATAGCTGCAGCTGAGCTTTCTTTTAATTTCTGGATCTACCACATTACATTTAGATAACTAGTCATTTTAAAAACAAGAGATCTGAGAGGCTACCTAGAAACCACAGATGTAGAAAAAAATCTGATTTTTTCAACAACCATGATAATTCAGAAACATCCCTACTAATGACATCTACCAGAGTTTTGTTTTGGGGATAAAATTATTTCTAATCCGGCAATACTGAGGACTATATTAGGATACCATTCTTTTAGAATATGCAACTTCAGCTCAGCTTTATACACATATTACATCACAACTTGTGCTTCCCTTTCTATAGCATAGAGTTGTCATAATCTACATTCTCCAGCTTCCCTGTACTCAGGGGTTATTTGACCAGTTCCTGCTGATGCAATGCGAGTGCCAGTGAAGTGCTCTGCCTCCAGGCTTGTCCCATAAAAACTCTATTCCTTTCTGGCTAGGGGAATGGAGGTGATTCCAAGGATGACCTTGGAAGCTATTTGTTGATAGTAAAACCTCCATCAGCCTCAGTTCCTAAAGACTGGGAGGAGGAGAGCTGATCTGCTGAGCTGTTCTTCTGTCCAGAACTGTTAGATAACAAACATCTACCATGTTTGAGCCATTATATGTTTTGGGTCTATATTTTATAGCACTTAGTTAACCAGAAGGGTCCAGTCCCTGGAGAAGGACATCATGTTTGGTAAAGCAGGGGGTCAGCAAAAAAGAGGAATACTCTCAACGAGATGGAATGACACAGCGGCTGCAACAATAGGCTCAAACACAGCAATGATTGTGAGGATGGCGCAGGACCGGGCAGTGTTTTGTTCTGCTGTGCACGGGGTTGCTGTGAGTTGGAACCTACTCAAAGGCACATAACAACAGTTAACTAAAAAGAAGCCCTGGTGGCACAATGGTTAATCACTTGGCTGCTAACAGAAAGGTTGGGGGTTCGAGTCCACTCAGAAGTGCCTCAGAAGAAAGGTCTAGCAACCTCCTTCTGAAAGATCAGACACTAAAACCCTGTGGAGCGCAGTTGTACCCTGATAGACATGAAATCACCACGAATTGGAATTGACTTAATGGCAACTTTTTTTTTTTCTAAGCTAACTATTACAATGTGTGTTAAGAGCTGAGCTGTATTTGTTCATATTAGATACCCGAGTGCTCCATATGCCACCCTAGCCCCGTGGGGCTTGCCTTCCTCTGTAACTACAGTGGTTCTAGCAAATGGCTTACACAATTCCATGGCAGGAGAGTAAGATCCCAGATGAGGACAGTAACATGTCTACTAAATTAAAGTTTCCATTCAAGGCCTGTAAACCTAAACCGACCTTTTCCTCCCAGTTTCCATTTCCTAACTACATTCTTTCCAAAAAAAGTATCCTTCTCCAGCTTTCTCCTCTCCCATTTGTGTTGCCCTCAGATGGCAGCTAATTATCTCCAGCTGCACTGGCTCCCAGAGCCTGCTTGCCTAGTTTCACATGCCTGTGACAGGAAAACAATGCCTCTTAATTCCCACTCGCTTAGAACAGAGATTTCCAAATACTTTTCAAAGCAGTAGAACCCTTTTTTCAATTGAAATCTTAAGCTACAGCCCAATATATAACAACTATTCTGACTGAAGAAGGTGGTAGTGATACTTTCTCGCCAGATTTTGAGCTGCTTCTGAGGTAAGGTTCAAACTTGTTACCTGGTAGGGAGTCAAATACATCGCAGTGGAGCTTTACATATTTACTGATACTGCCTTTTACCCCCAAATATCCTCAGATACTCAGGAATAGGTTCCAGCAAATCACTTAGGTAAGATCAGAAATTCAAGTCAACTAGCTCAGACTTGGTGAAATTCAATGAGGATGGGCCCTGAAGTCTCCGGGGTCTTGGAATGCACCACTTGGGGCTGAATGGAGGAAGCTCTTTGAGGCTGATCTCTTTTTCTTTCTGTTTGGCAGAACCAAATATAAACCAAATATAGTGTTTTCTTTGATTACTCCTTGGTCAGCTGAGAGATCCTGAGTATTACTGTGACCAGGATTTGAGAACGTTCTGTTTTACATATCAGCTAGGAGCACAATAAACTGGCACCACTCACAGGGGCAGAAGGAAGGAAGACTGACTCTAAACTCAACTATTGCTGCCTGTACATGCTCCTCACACCAGACCTTGATGAAAATCTACCAGGGTTTCTGGTAACACTCCTGGTCTCTGTGGCTGGCAGGACTGGGACCAATTGGGAAGATGGGACGCTGGTCCAGAAGTTCCTGCTTTCATAGGGGTACAGGTGCTGTCAAAAACAGTGCTAGGCAGCCTGCACAAGGGGAAGGTTTCAACAAGTTTTCCACTTTGAGGTGGTGTAGGGGGGAGATTTAAAACCAGTATCACAATGAAAATGTTGGTGTGTGCACATTTTTGGCTTACTCATGTTAAGGTGTATTTTTATTTACAAAGTGAGATGATACATCAGTTACAAACAGATATCTGATAATTCTATTTTCATGAAAAAGTATATAAATATATTACAGGAAATTCTATATAGTAGATGTCAGAAATTGACACAGTAAACATTTACTACTTTTTTCTATGCCAATATTATTGTGACTTAAAGCTTAAATACTGGTTTCAAGTATCCCCTATAAAATAACTCTATTAAAATATTGAAAAAGAATTTTGCTATAAACAAGATTGGTGCATTAAAAATAGACTCAGAGTATACTCGTAACAATGTCTACTATGATCAAATGCTGCCTTAATTATCCCTCAGATCTCTAAACCAAAAAGCAGTTTAGGAAACTGAATTGTTCAGTTAGTGTTACACAACTCTTAATAATTATCATAGGTTAAAGTAGCTGTAAAAATACAGCATTTCAACATTATTTGTTGTTACGAAGATTGTCCCTCTCTGGAAGAGGAGAACAAGCATAATGGTATTGGGTAGACTCGCTCAGCCATCTTTATTTTAAGTAGAGAGTGGCAGAGTCTTCTGGAGGTTTAAGGAGAAAAATGGGAAGGCTTCCAGAAGGTTGCTCGTTTCATGTCATTTCAGAGGCTGCTGCTGCTCTTTCTGCTCTTCTTCAGCTTGAAGACGTGTCAGAACATAAAGGATAACGTGATAGCAGAAAATATATTGATCCTAGAGCAACAAAAAAAAAGGAGAGAAGACTTTAATAATATAATGTGAATACTGTATTCTGTCACACTGCTATGGGAAGTTATGTTTGAGTTTTGAAAATATGGAAAATTTTTATTTTATGATGAATGTAAGAAGATACAGAACTGTGCAAAGGGTTATCAAAATGTAACTACAGTTGAATTTCATTAAAACAGTGCACGTGCGTGTCTATGCACTCATGCCTAGAATAAGCACTGCAAGAACACTTCCTCAAACACTAACCACTCTTCGGCAGCAGGAATACCTGTGACCTTTTTGCTCATCTGTATTTTAACCTTTCCACATTTTCCACATGTTCATCCTTGACTCCTTCTCTCACACCATGTACAATTCACCAGCAAACCCACTTCTCACAGTGTTCTCTTCTCACTGGGTCCACAGCTTCCATCCCAGTCTTGGCCACTGCTGCTTGTCATCTAACTGGGCTTGCTGCTTCTAACCTTGTCCCCTCTCCCCAAATCAGGTCTTGTTTTAACAGAACAGCCAGAGTATCCTTTAAAATGTGAGTCAGATCACAACAATCAATGCTCACAATCCTCCGATGGCTCCCACCTCACTTAGAGGAAACCCCAAACCTTGGCCCTCCCTTCCCTCTGGCCTAGCCTCCCTAGCTCCAGCCCAGCCACGCTGGCCTTGACCATTCTTGAGCGCACACAAGACACTCCCACACAGCTGGTCCACTCTGCCTGAAAGGCTCCTGCCCGAGTTAGCTCATGATTCCCTCCTTCACATCTTTCCTCCAGTGTTACTTTCTCAATGGCACCGCCCTATTTCAAATAGCATCCCCAACCAGCTGTGACTGATCCCTTGTACCCTACTCTTTTCTCCAAAGCACTTGTCACTTTCAAAGATCCTATAGGATCTGCTCATTTAACGTGTTTATTATTTGCCTCCTTATCACCATCCTGCTAAAATGTAAGTTCCCTAGATTAGGGATCTTTGTTGTATTCACTGATGTGCTCTAAGCACCTAGAAGAGTGCCTGGCACAAAGCTGACGCTCAATAAATACCTGTTGAACAAACAAATGAATTAATGAACTATCTGGGTCTAAAGAACTGTTTATATAGATCAATGTGTTTTCTTTACTTCAAAAATGGGATTATAAATCAGCTAATATTTAGGAGACTTAATTAGAATAAAAAATATATGAAGGGAAAATAGGCAAATTCTAATTTTTGAGATAGCAAAGTTTTATATTCTTCAAGAGATAGGGAAATGTGAATTTTTATATATGTGACAATACCATCCATATTCCCCTGCCCCTCCAACAGGCACAAACAAAAAGGATAGCAGAACTACTCAGTGAAGACAGATACTCAAAGCAACACGGTCCTTGTAAAGGGCACAATTCTGTTAGTCACTGGGTGACATAACCTATGGTTTGATTTCAGGTAAGAGAAACAAAAATTATCAAATTAGAGGATAAATGGATTCCCCTACCCCCCCACACTCTCCTGAGTGCCTTCTCCAAGTTAAGTAACTCCCACCTGCCTTCCTGCTTCCAGTCAATGCTGCCGAATCCATTCACTCTCAGGGAATTTTTACGTGGATTAGAACTGCCAACTTTTATGTTAGTAATTGAGTGCAAACCATCTGCACCACTCAGGGTGCATCTCTTTTATAGACTGGAAATGGGGAAGGAATACCACTAGTTACATGGTAATACATACCACCCTCCATCTCTGCCCTCAACATGCCACCTTCCTCTGTAATCTATTCAGTGCACATATTACATTTCCTCATTTTTAAAAAATAAAGATATTTAAGAAGATAGCCTAGAGATATTTTAATTTTTTTCTGAATTAGCCTTCATACTTAGGAAAAAAAAAGCCCCTTACTGCAATAAATGTTTGATTTTATGCTTTAATATGAAAACCCTTCAAAAAGAGAAAAATGGTTTAATAGAAACCTTTAAAACATTACACTTTTTATAAAATCCTCATTAGAAGGCACCAATCAAGACTCACCTCAGTTTGAACCATTCCATGTCTTTGCAGTCTCATGCAGCGTACTAGGTCAGAGATGTCAAACTGCCAAAGTAAAGAGAATGTGTATTACATAAAAAATGTAATCAAATTTGAACCCCAAAGGGCTTGTGGACAATTCTGTACCCCACCCTCCTTCTCTGACTAGTAGCCTTAGGAAACTGTCCTGGACAAAATGAGTTGGTGAATTAACTTCACCATCATTTCGTACTCTTATTTATGGTTTTTCTAAGAATCAGGAAAGGTTATTCTATTTGAAACTCAACAGAAATCCTTTTATCTCTGAAATATGATTTATTTATAATACCATGATTAAAAAAAAAAAATTCTCCTACACTTTGCTTTACAGAAAAAAAGTCCTGATCTTTTAATTTTAGCTGATATTTAATAGTTTGAAATAAGGGAGAAATATATTATTTGGTTTTGTACTACTTAAATTACTATAGTAGATATAACAGTGTGAGGTACAAGACAGAACTACGTTTTTTCCTTTTTCTTCTCGATAGAACTATTTTTAACTAAAATTCTTTAACAGACAATGATTTTAATTATATGTCATATATTTCTAGCATTGTACATAGGGTTTATACTAATTTAGGTTCAAAAGTAATACTAAGTTTTGTTTACATAGTAAAAAAAATCTTTTTTGAGAGTAATTGTTTAGAGATAGACCATTTAACATTAATTTGTATAACAAAGTCTTTTCCTATCTACTGGTAGCAATAACGAAAAAATAATACAAGCTGTTCATTTAAAAAATAGTTTTTTAGTGTTTCAATATTTCTAGCTCTAAAAGAACGATAACGATACTGACTTTATGGATGCATAAAGACTATAAAGGTTAAAATGCAATACTGGTTAAGAGGCTTTTGAGTACATAGTTTTTAGAAAAAAAGTAAAATATAAATTTGAAGTATTACTTTTTCTTTATTACGGTCTATGCAGTTTCAAATAACAATGTTCAATAAATACAATGCTATACAGTAAGAAAATTAGGTCATTCATACTAACTGGTAAATACAAAATTCCCAAGATGCCAACACATTATTAAAAAATTGGATTCCATCATTATTTTTGGTCAAATGCTTGTGTAGCCTAAGTCCCGTACTCACTTCAAGATCTTGACTGATTAACCCTAGAACCACATCTATGCATATCAGGGTCCCTGAACGTCCGATGCCAGCGCTGCAGTGAGTGATGATTGGGCCTGAGTTATGAATGTGTCTCATGTAAGAGATAAAGGTGAGTAGGTCATCTGGCTGAGAAGGTGTATCATGGTCTGGCCAGGCAGTGAAATTCAGGTGAGAAATATGTCGCACCTCTCCTGTCTGAAATTACACAACAAAATAAGTAGGTAAAAGCATACTGTATTGTTCACATACAATTTGCGCTTAATTTTATTTTGTCCTTTTCAGTTTTGACTTGTTGATTTTGAAAATGCAGGCAACAAAGAGACCCCATTAAACAACACATATAGGACCTTTACCAAGAAGGTTGTTAGATCCACATTTTAAATACTGGTGAAAACTCCTTTCTGAAAACTCTGAAAACAAATAACAGTTTGATATGGAAAACAATCTTTTTTGGTGACCCCAATTCAAAACTTATTCTATCCCAAATACAAGTCAGAGTCATTGTAATGGCCTGTAAGTCCTACAGAATTGGTCCTGTTACCTCTGAGACCTGACAGTCCTCCTTCTCTCCTCTGTGGTCACTTCACTCCAGCCACAATGATCTCTTTGTGGTCCTTTAAATGCACTGGGGACACTTCAATCTCAGGGCCTTTGTACTTGATTTTCTTTCTGATTGAAACGTTTCCCCCAGATATCCCTCCCTGGCTTACTCCTCAGCTCCTTTAGGATTTTTTTCCCAAATGCTACCTTCCCAGATTCCCTGTTTAAAATTACAGCACACCTCTCATGCTTCCCTAACCAATTGCCCTTCACTGCTTTATTATTTTCACGGCACTTATCCATGGCAGTATCTCCTCATTTGAAAGGAAGCTTCATGAGGTCAGGGATTTTGTATCATTTTGTTTGTGTTGTTAACTGCTGTATCCCTCGAGCCTATAACAGGGCCTGAATTCTGTGAACATGTGATTAAATGAATAAATCATTTGAGGAAGACCGAACAATTGTGCTGGCCTATATAATGAGTAAAAACCAAACCAAACCTGTTGCCTTCGAGTTGATTCTGACTCATAATGACCCTACAGGATAGAGCAGAACTGCCCCATAGGGATTTCAAGGAGTGGCTGGTGGATTCAAACTGCTGACCTTTTGGGTAGCAGCCGAGCTCTTAACCACTGCGCCGCCAGGGGTCCAAGTAATGAGTAGGCTGGTGTAAATGAATAAGGAGGTACAATCTTTATTCTTAGTAAAATCACTATCAAAAAGCATGACTCCAATAGAATTAAGTCAATATACCTTGTTTTTATGGAAGTAAAATCACTCTTTTTGTTTCCTTAAGCTATAGGAAACACATTACTTACACCCAGGTGGAATTACTGAAGGAAGGGTTACTGAATGAGGGGGTTTGGAGGTGAGGAAACAGTAACGGCTTTATTTAAGGTATGCCCACTCATCTAATTCAAAGTAAATATATTTAGTGGTTAGGTGACTGCAGCAGGACCTGTATGAATAACAACTGTTTATGCTACACTTGTCCATGTATTCCCAAATATGATGTTAAGCTACCCTTATGAAGAAATATCTTCTACTTAGAAATCTCTTTAAACAGTTTTACTGAGTCCTCTTAGAGGTTTGACCTTAAGCAAGTTTTTAGCAGTAGCTTCTGAGCCATTCTGTACTATCACCAAGTAGAGGATGATGGATGATCCCATTAAACGTTTCATTTTCATTTTAATGTAGTATATACTGGAGGAAACCTTTGAGCAGAATCATGAGGGGAGGGGGTTACATTTCAAATTTATACTAGGTAAAAAAGAATAGTGACATTACTTTCAATGAAATGGGAACCAAGAAGTCAATGGCTTTTATCTAGAAATACACTGATGAAATCATGCGAAGAGTCCAGGCCTGGATTCTAGCTGGGAGATAAGCCTTAGTAAACAAAGATTTAATTCACTTACCTGAATATCTTCTAGGGTCATTGCCCTCACGACAAAGCCCTTCAGCTGCTGCATTCTCACAAAAGCCAGCCGAAGCCTGTCACTGACCATTGTCGTTTTGCCGGGGATGTTAGGCCAATAGCGCTGACATTTGATTTTTTCTCCTTCTACTTCCTGGGTCATCATGGCTATCACTGTGGATTTCTGTTCCCAAATCATCTGCCAGAAATCTCCAACAGTTGTTGGGAGAGGTCCCTGGCAGGCAATGTAAACAAATTCTTCTTTCCCTACTGGGATTTTAATGAAGCTCGCGTTGATATATCCACCTTCGTCTCCAAGAGGCACTCTTGTAGCATCATCTGTGAATTTCCCACCATAAAAAAGAGTCATCTATATCATGCATTTCTAAATAAGAGTATTATAAATAGCTCAAGTCAAAGATCATGAAGAATTACTCTTAACCATAGATGAGATCACAAACACATTTTGACAGAGGTATGTTTTCAATTGTAGTGCAGTTACATTATTTTATATTTACTCTTTTCATTTATGTTACGAGTATATCTAAGATGTCAGCTTCTGACACATGGAATTTGATATTTATTATTTACATATAGATTTGGTTGGAGAAATTAAAATTCATAAATACATTTAGAACTTAATAAGTAACTAGAAAAACAAAAACTGTGCTACTTCTTCTCTATCTTAACGATGACGACAATAATAACAGTACTGAATGATAATGCCAAAAAATCTTTTTATAGAACACAAAAAGGTAGCTCACTTTATTCTCCAGGCACACAAGCCTTTGTCTATGTCTAACTGTAGTCAAAATATAATTTTTCAATCCAGGCTGCCCCGGTGAAAAGTACATATAAGCCATCTTTTACTGATATTATATAGTTAATGGTTTATCCAAGAAAATAAATTTGTACATATTTGCTGGAATTAACTTGACAGTAACTAACAATAGCAACAGCATACATTAGAAGTCATTTCTATTGCAAATATTTATACATTTAACTGGTAATTATTGTGATTACAAAATTGAAACTCTTCATTGTTAAGTTTCAAAATCCTCCAACAATTGCCCTTCTACTACTTGACTTCTTTTATCTCTTAGTTCAAACCAGTCATTTGGCTCATGGAAACAAATCCACTCATTTGGAATTTATGGCTT